TTCCAGGCTTTGAAGCAGAGTGGCCCGCGCGTCGTTCTGTTGGTCACCCATGAGCCGCAACCACCTGGGATGAGAGTGATTGAGGTAACGAGAAAAGATGGACAGTCACTCGGAATATCAATTCACGGAGGTGTTGGTAAACCAGCTGCCAATCCTGCCGATGAGAGAGACGAAGGGATATTCATAGAAAAGGTATGTTTCTCCTAAGTGGCAGTTGTATTTATCTCTTTGACTATCGGTTAGACATGGAATTTGCGGGGTTTGTGCTAGTTTTTCTGAAGGCTTTCCTCTCGTTTTCTTTCCATGATAATAAGAATTGCTGTACAGCTAGGACACCCAACCATATGGCTGGCTAAGCTCACATTTCGTGAAGTATGTATGAAGCAGTCACCTCACTATTCTTTTAATTTCTTGAAGGTGGTTCAAATTTTTTCTTATTTGCTGCAGTTTTTACTTTGCGTAGAATAGTATGCGTCTCCAAATACCGCAGCACAAGATTGAGTGCAAACATGGCATTCACATTTGCTGCTTAGCTGTAGAGGATGGCCGCGTTAGGGCATCGTCTAATAGGCATTGTATACGCTCACGGCTCGCTTACATTAGTAGCCGCTTTCGTTTGGGGCTGGCCTTTAGCTTGATTTGTTCTGCGATAATTGATGCAGTCATAATCTCAGGTGGAACCATCGAGCGTTTGTCAGCGAGCGGGCCTTCAAGTTGGACATCGTTTGATAGAAGTAAACGGTGACTCGTTGCTGGGTTGTGATCAATCCGAAGCGGCGACAATCCTGCGTTCTTCTAATGAATTACGAATCCTTGTTTGTGATGGGTATAACAAACCGATAATGCCACGAGTCGACGATAGAACCATCACGTCGTCGGTGAGTGTTTTCAAAAGAGGTATTCAGACTTCCTACATTTTCTGACGCTATATTTATCCCTTTGGCTATTGGGTTCACTTCAAATTGGAAAATGGGGACGTTAAGGCCGATTTCCGGGAGGTAGTACTTACTGTTGAATAGCGATAGTGTTCTAGAACATTCGATAGTTGGCTAGTAAGCATAATAGCCCAGTTTTCGGCTTGAACGTTCGGCACATTTGTGTTTGCCAACAGTTCGTGCCTTTCACTTTGTTCTTTCGTTATTCTTTTTCACTGAGAGGGTGTTTTACTCATTGTGACTACCTAATATTCCCCTTCCCCTACAAAACCGCAGGTGCTGCGCTTGTTAAAACTGTTATACATTGTATCTAACTTTGAACTGCTGTTATCTTTTTGTACAGTAACGATGGCTACTTTACTGCTGCTATATGTTGTCCAAGTTTGTGCCTACATGGTTGTTGTAAACCCTCTAGTCTCAGATCACTTTACGCATCGTACTAGTCACTGAAAATAGTTGTGACGTGATCGTGTCCGCTGTCGCGACCCTGTTCAAATATAGTAACTTTGCTCGTCCAGTACATTGTCCTACCCACATTTTTTGAAGCTGTTTTTAGCTCAATCCTTCATATAATGTGTGTGATATTGTCATGTTCCATTTTTGAGATTATCAAATTCCACAGAGATTAATTAATTTAATATATTCTATTTATAAGGTCAATGAACATCTTATTTGATGTGTTCGTGTCTGTTTTATCCAGTTTCGATGCTATTGTTCATTCCCTACAAAATAAGCTTGTAAGCCATTAACTGCATGTTGCAAATAGCGGGAAACCTCTTGAAGCTATATTAATTTCTTCTGTCAAACATGTCACAGGAGCTTGGATTATTTCGCAAAGGATTATGTTTTTAAGCAGTCATCTTCGAGCAACGTGCTAGTGGACGAGAACAAGCAAGTGTCAACCGCCTCGATCTCTACAGTTGCTAACACACCCATTCAAAATGGTGACCATCATCAGGAACCTTCTCGATTCGACGAACCTCCGTTGGCCTCGTCCAGTCCTTTGCCGACAACTCCCGTAGTGGCTCCCGCTCCTGCCTCGGTATTTTATTTTCCATCTGCTTATGAGTTTTTTTTTATTTTGCATGTTATTGATCATCTCTGATTAACTCCGAAAAAGGAGGCAGCCAAGATTATACACAGCTGCTAATGCTCATTTTGTTAATTTCAAATTGCGAGCCTTTTGCAGTTTTGTTTCTGCAATTTTTCAACCAAGTTTGGGTTGGCTTACACGTTGTTTTCCAAATCATGTAATATCTGTAACAAATCTCCGTAAACTGGAATTGTTGAACTTTAAGAAGCCGGCTCGACATCCACCTGCAGTCGCCCCAAAACCAACGTTACGAAATTCACAGGTAGGACGTTTCAGCCATCATCTTGCATTCACGTCGTCGTTTTGCAGTTACAAAATGTGCCGGTAGTTGGCGATATTACGCAACCGGAAAAGCTTACATTTGCCTCGAAGATAAAAAATTTCGAAAGGGAAATCGAAGTCCAGAGACTGGCTACGAAGCAAATTTCCGCCAGTAGCTTGCCGGCTCCAGGTAATTTACTTCTTTGCTTGCTGCCTTCACAGTGGGGCAGTTGTTTACTACTTCTGCTTCTATTTTCATTTATATTTTAGCAATGAAGCCTCTAATCACAGACAACGATGTGCTAAAAATGAAAGAAGAAGGACGAAAAAGAACTAACTCTAATCGCGAGGTTTTGAGCCCGCAAGAGAGTGGGGCTGAGTTCGAGAAGATACT